GGGTGGATATAGCTCGCTCACACTGAGGACCTATCCACGTCATCATTTACCCAGAATGCTTTGTGTGTAAATAAAATGGCTCTGTGTTAAAATATATTTTAAAAAATTAAAACAGTAAACAGCCCAGTACTTTTACACTTTATTTTACAGTTAAAATATATGTTTATTAAATAAAGTCTAATGTTACAACTAATCAGGGATCCCTTTAATATTTTTTAAYCTTTTAGAAATCCCCAAAGAAACCTGAAGAGCCTAATGGTCCAGATGTTGGAATCTATCAAGACATCAGAAACGGCATAACAGAACCTACTGGTAAGATATGTTATGCAGCTGTGTTCCTATGAGTTGTTTGGTTTCAGTCAGTTGTTAAGTTCCACTCTGTTTTGYCGCTGATCCTTTGTTTACCTCCATAATCCTGAATTGTCTAGCAGAATTTGCATGAATATTTGCATACGTGTTTGCATATTAATTTACTTAAAATGTGCAAATGTGTAGTTACACCAGATGACAAGAACATGGGTGTGAGTCCTGCCCCGTCTGCAGACACAACTCCCCAGATTCATCTCACCCTCAACCACTTGGTGTTCCACAAAGTGCTGGGAAAAGGCAGCTTTGGCAAGGTACGGCCCTATAACACCTGAGCGAACTTGTCTAAAACACTGATCCCAAATTCTGTAGGAGCAAATGACAAGAGAAGAGACCTTGGCGGTTTGTTGTAAAAGATGACAAASTCATTTTGAGGGTAAAAAAGACTGCAGTTCATTGATGGAAACAAGGAAAGTCCATGTTTGTCCAAATCATAGATCTAAATAAACCTAGAGTGAGCCCTGCCCATCCTGTCCACAGGAGCAAAAATGGCAACCGAACAGGGGGCCAGCTCACAGCCAGCATGGCAGCTATTTGATTAACAGGAAGCCCAACTGGATCTGTGTTGCAAGTTTTTGTAATTTTTTTTACAATTAATTAATTGTTAACAGCTATATTTTACATGTAGTGGAAAATTTAATAATTTATCATATTGATTATCTAAACCAGACCTGCTGTCAGTCCTTAGTCCTTTCCATCCTTAGACTTTTTAGCTAGTTAAAAAATTAGGACTTCAGCTAATAAAGTATTTCTATTATTTCTTACCTGTCATAAGTAWTAATAATAATAAACATTTACCATTCGACACTTAGAAAATGTTCTCTGCATACATACGTTAAAAGATGAAACTTGTCTGTASTAATATTAGCTAACCACCTTCTCAACAAGTCAGGTTTGTCTAACAGAAACCTAAAAATAGTTTAATGCATGATAGTATTTTAATCTGTAAATACAGCATAAATTAGAGGCTAGTTTGTAATATTCAGTTCTGGTCAGATCGCATACATGTTGAGGTTAATAAGATAAAATGTGTTTACTTGTGAAATGAGATGCAATTTCTTGTTTTTCTTCTGTTTTGTAAATCCATAACACACACACACATCTTTCTGGCATTTGTGTATATACTTTAGAAATATTATTATTATTATTAATTGTATATTTATTAATATTACCATTAATAGTTTTTACATAATCTGCACTTATTAGTGTGAATTTTGCCCATATGTACAGTAACAGTAAATCCAGACGTTTGCCCGTTCTGATTAGCATTAGTGCTACATTAGTTCACATGGTCACAGGATCAAGACTCACTCCTGCTTTTCTATAGACCTCAGTAATCTAGATTAATTTTGTCATGCTGACTCTGCCGTCAGGTTTTCACACCAAGATGAACTCAAGTTTCTCCTGATGGCACATTTTTACCATCTCTAATCCCTAGGTTATGCTGGCAGAGCTGAAAGGGAAAGGCCAGTTTTTTGCTGTGAAGGTTCTGAAGAAGGATGTGGTTCTCATGGATGATGATGTTGAGTGCACCATGATCGAGAAGAGAGTCCTGTCTTTGGCCTGGGAGAACCCTTTTCTGACCCACCTCTACTCCACATTCCAGACCAAAGTAAGGACACCCTGTTAACTTATGATGGGTTTTATTTTCAAASAGGGACTATGACTCATACTGTAGAGAGACAATTCCCAGCAGTTTAATGAATATATCTACACATCCAGCATGGTTTTATCCAACCCCCCCCCTCTCTACTACTACGCATAGTTCATGTGTCAGTGAGCTGACAGTAATATCTGGTTTCCTCAGGAGCATCTCTTCTTTGTAATGGAGTATCTGAATGGAGGCGACTTGATGTTTCACATTCAAGATAAAGGGCGCTTCGATCTTAACAGAGCTACGTGAGTACACAGGGAAATGAAGCGCTGCAGCATTTGTTTGCGAGTATAATAAAACCGTTCCCTTTATTTTTTATATTATTATTTAGATTCTACGCTGCTGAGATTGTATTGGGACTGCAGTTCCTCCACTCTAAAGCCATTGTCTACAGGTAAGAATGAACATTGTGAGCTTTACTCTGCGTGTTGCTTCAGAGGCTGTGAAGAAATTGTATTTTGAGCTCCACAGAATAATTTACAGCGGAGCAAGTTATTCATTGCTGCTCCTGTTTTTGTTCTCTGCCTGTTTACAGAGATTTGAAGCTGGATAACGTTATGCTGGACAAGGATGGACACGTTAAAATCGCAGACTTCGGCATGTGCAGAGAGAGGATCTCTGCAGAGAACAAAGCTGGTACATTCTGTGGAACACCAGACTATATTGCACCTGAGGTTAGTGTGACAGCTTGGTTAATGCCACTCGTCTCACTATTATCTGTGTTTCTACTGTGTGTACTTACTCTTACATTCMTCTGACGACATGCCCATTCTCTCAGATCCTGCTTGGACAGAAGTACACTTTCTCGGTGGACTGGTGGTCATTCGGTGTGCTAGTCTACGAGATGCTGATCGGTCAGTCACCATTCCAAGGTGACGACGAGGACGAGCTGTTTGACGCCATCAGGACGGAAACYCCACACTACCCCAGGTGGATCACCAAGGAGTCCAAAAGCCTGCTTGAACAGGTGAGTAGTTGAAAAGTTTTTATGAACACCAATTTATGGTCATAGTATTACAGCAACTCTGTATTGTTTTTGTGAGTTAAGCGTTTCCTGTCACTGTTTTTCAGCTGTTTGTGCGAGATCCCAACAAAAGGCTGGGCGTGGTGGACGACATCCGCTTGCACRCTTTCTTTAAAGTCATCAACTGGACGGCGCTGGCGAAAAGACAAGTCGATCCCCCGTTCAGGCCTAAAGTGGTATGAGCCTTGTGGATTGTGTGTTTTATATAACCCCTGCATGCATTCTCCATGTTTTATAGGCCTAACTTAACTCCCTGACCCTTCTGCCTACAGAAATCTCCCAATGACTGCAGCAACTTTGATCGCGAGTTCCTCAACGAGAAGCCCCGCCTCTCACACGGTGACAAAAAACTCATTGAAACCATGGACCAGAACGCATTCAGAGGCTTTTCTTTTGTCAACCCCAGACTGGAAGTGATGATAGCAAAATGAAAAGGCGAACTCCTTGGAAACGTTCGGACTTCARCACTCCTAAACAGGCTCTTACTTTATTCTGTTTTATCTTCCGTGTGGTGTAGGGTTGACTGGCTCTTTTCCAGTTCTTCTGTCAGAGGATGAGATAAAATAATACCCAGATGCTCGCCGGCATCTCATAAAAAATATTGTCTCAACTTGGATCTGTACAGATGAACWGAGTATAAAGTTTCAGAAAGTAAGGGAGATTCTTAAACCAGCRTCACTGTTAATGCTGAAGGGGACAATCACATATGAATTTAGTATTTTGTAACTTTTATCATGTTTTTATTATTACTGTTTAGATCAATGAATCAATGTACTGTACCATGATAATTTATTGCACTGGCATAAACATTATCAACCAGTAATGCTGTATAAACAGGTATACTTCATTCAAGCTAAGAGAAATGAAGGTACAGAATGGGTATGTCTTTGTGCACTACATAGTTGTTTACTTSGCATGGGTGTGTACAGATATCTTTTTAAATGCAAATAACTTTATCCAGTTAGAGAGTGAACACTGCTGGTTGCTCTTGTAGAAATAACTGTATAAAGGGGGAGTGAATTTTAAATCCATTCTAAATTGAAGTATTTATACTGTGTAACATTTACTGGAGGTGTCTTAAAAATAAAAGTAGTTTTTAGTTTTTCTTGTTTTTTTTTTTACTCCAGTGCAACAATATCATCCTGTTAAGCTCAAGCATGGAACAAACAGCCTCTTCCTCCACTTTATAAACACTTACCAGGAGTCTCAGCATGTCTTTAATTCTAAYCCTGTATATGATGAAGGATGTATTTTATAAGGGAAAGGGGAGATTTCCATATAAGAACAGATCTTTAATATGTTATATGTGTTACTGTAGTTTATTAACATCAGAATTTAACATTAAAATAACAGGTGTATATTAGGGTGGTCCTCTATAGTATGCCAACAATAAAAATGTGACTTTTTTTAAGGTGCTTCCTGACAAAATTGTTCCTTTTTTCAAAGAAAGTCTTTTGTACCAAATTTTGTGTCGATACAACTTTTCTAACCACTGCCACATGTGGGGTGAAAATTAGAATGGTTGAGCTCGTTTGTGCATGCCAACACGCTTGCTTAGGTATGAAGAGAAACAAAGTGGCAGCACAGTAGAGCAGATGCCTCTCAGCAAGAAGGTAGCCGGATCGAATCCCRGCCCGGGGACCCCYCTGGGTAGAGTTTGCATGTTCTCTCCTTGCGTGCGTGGGTTTTCTCAAGGTACTTTGCCTTCCTTCCAAAAACAAAATTGGTAACTCTAAATTGTCCCCATCTGTGTGGCCCTATGATGGTGACCAGTGATTGCTGTGGGCACTATGAACTTGAAAGAAAGAAGCTAATGGATGGATGGGCTTACAATACAAAAATTAATGAGTGTCAATGTTCACATATTTGGTGAGAACAAACAGTCATGAAGAGTGGCATTTGGTCATGAATTTCTTCACTTCCAGGAATTGACATTGATGCCACCCTACAACTTGCAGCATGTATTGCCACTGCTGATCACTTGATTGTAATCCTGGATGAGTTTCCTCTTTATTAAAGTCATTGACATCTTAATCATTAGTCGCTTACATCCTAATCATTGGCATCCTAATGCTACACAGAACCTACCATGACTAGAATGATGGCTCATCCTCCCAATCTGATGGGTCCTTGACAAGGTAGTTCATGTTGATGCTGAATGCCTCAAAATGGGACTTGATGTAACAAAATCTGCCACCRTTTTGGTAACAATAGCTTCATTTGCTTCTAGGTCCACTGTAGCACATGACTGAGGATCATTGTGACCTTCATCCTTGAGAACAGCTAYGATCATCACATGCAATGCTGCTGTCAAATATGACAAGTCCGGCCAGTTCTTTACTCAGATACCACAGATTTCTGGCTAACGTCTCACTGGAGGCCTTGGCAATGACAGAATTAGAACTCTAAATTTCAATYACATGGTACAAAAATAGGGGTTGAGCGGCAGTGGTTAATATTTTTCAAACTTTATGAAATTTCCCCCAAATGGAACAAAAAACTGAAGAAGCACCTTGGAAAAGTAAAAGTTTGCATTTTGGGACCACCCTAGTGTATATGGAAAATCCAACTTACTGTCATTGTCTGTATTGTTGTACTTTTTTACTCTCCATCTTTTACAAAACAACTGAATAAATATTCTTGTAAACTTGATGGTTTTTCTGTTTGTTGCTTCAGTATGTGGTAAATTCTGGTTTATTGGGATATTTTTTGTAAATGAATATTCTGAGCTCGATTTTACTAAAAAAATCACTCAAAATATTGAATTTCTGAAAGTATACAGACTGTGTGAAAAGAAAATAAGGTGTTTATAAAATTTTATCAGATTATGGCTAAACGTTTTTGCTGTGCTTGACACAAAACTAATTCTAAGTGACATGCTGGGTATTTGGGACACAGTGCCAGCAATTAATTTGTCTGTAATGATGTTTTTAAAAACATTTTAATGAAACAAATGTTTAAGGATGTACGTTCTGTTTTATGAGGATTTTTGATTTATTATATTAGATCAAGAAATATGAGGGCCAGACCATTCATTGAAATGTTGAACAAAGCTTAAAGAGCCCAATCCAAAATAATTCAGTCATTTTGTTCATATTCTATAAAATGAGATATTTTCATATAAAGAAACAAAAAACAAACCGTGCTCAAATGCACCATGTGGCTAACTATTAATAGCTCTAATGCTGATGAAGTTGGAACCCATTGTAATAGTTTTTGTAAATAAAAATAGAAAGTAATGGTTTGTAGATATAAACAAATTGTATTTACAGTGGAACATACTAACAAACTGTTTAAGATATTGTACTTTTTAAGGGTGGGAGGGTGTATTTTTACATTTTATGGCAACAACACCTCAAAAAAGCAGGAATGGGCTAAAAAAAATCTGTAAAGTAAAAGGGAACAGCCAATTTTGCAACTAAACAAGTAGCTGGTCAAGAGGACTGGGGATAGTGGGCAGAGGTTTACCAGTTTGCTAAAAACTTAAATTGTGTAACAATTTCAGAATAATGTTGCTCAATAGGAAACATCTGGGAGACATTAAAAATCCGATCATCTACAGTTTATAAGATCAACAGATTTCAAGAACTGAAGCAAACTCTGACCTCAAAGGATGAGACTGGAAGTCAACTTTAGGTGATTGTGGTCTGTAGGCCCTCATGGGGCCTCTGCATTAAAACAGGTCTGRTTCTGWTTTGGACATCACTGCATGGCCTCAGGAACACTTCTACAAATATTTGTGCCATCCGTTAAAACTTTATCATGTAAACAGAAAGCCACCGTCCAGAAGCACCGCTGTCTTCTCTGGTTCAAAGCTCATTTAGGATGAGCTGAAGCAAAAACTGTTCTGTGAATCTGCAAATCAAAATTTAAAACTAAAGAGGAAGGAGACCTGGCCCTTTTTTTAGTGCATGGTTCAAAATCCTGCCTCTCTGATGGTATGGGGGGTGCATTAGTGTCTATAGGCAGCTTGCACATCTGGAAAGGCACCTCGAATAAAGTAAAGCATATTCAGGTTTTAGAAAATCTGCTTGCAAYGGCGTTTTCAGGCAAGGCTTTGCATATTTCATCAAGACAGTTTTAAACTTTGTAAAAGTTTGACCTGACAATCCAGCAAAGATCGGGACAGCCGAACAGCTGGAGTCCTTTTATTTCTGAACAAACATCATTACAGAGAACCCCTTCGGAATTTCTGTTGATACCTCACTACCCTCTGGCGGCAACAGGCCTGAACTGCAGCTGCTCGTCTCGTGGACAGTTCCAGCAGCAGGCAGCGCGCGCACGCCGTGCGTGACCTGTCCTCATCCTCTGCTCCAGCTGTGACCAGCTGTCTCTTACGGCATGTTTACTAATAAATAAACATCTGCATAAATAAAGGCTGCAGCCTCACTCAAACCCGTTTAAGTCAAAGGTGATTTTTTTTAAATTATAATTTTAGCTTATATATTAGATAAGAGATTAAAGTTGAGCTATATGACTAATATGTAAATATAAAACATAAAAGTCGGGATTCTTTTTTCATTTTTATATTTTACAATATTTAAAAATCTCAGCCTCCTAATATGAGTCTTCTTTTTTTTTTTTCAAAGGCTTCACAATGCCAGCTCTGCAGGCAGCTACTTTTTGTCCCAAAAATCATTAATTTAGGGTGTAAATTCCTATATTATTTACTAAATAGCTTTCAGGCAGTTTATGCAAACCTCGCTTCGGGACGGACACTTTTTTTCTCCTCCTGTTTCCACCTGGAGCTTGTTGAGAAATGGTTTCTTTTGTGAGAAAGGGCTGGTCTGTGAGGATTATATGAAGCATGCGGTCGAAACGACCGAGGACAAAACGTGTTTCAGACAGCTGCTGGTCGGTTTTTACACACTTGTTTCATTGAGATGGCGTTGATTTTGTCACACGGGTGGACTTTGAGCATTGCTCTTTTCTGTCAGTATATTTCCAGCAGTTTATCCCGCCCTCTCCAAAAAAAAAAAAAAAAAAAAAATGATTTGGCAGCTCGTTGTGCTCTAAGACAAAATATGTAGCAGCCGCTGTGTTTAGGCGTTATTGAGATTTAATAAAAAGTACAGATTAAGCCACCCTTTGAAGCGCTTTATTAATTTCCCCACTTATAGAAATAAAACACTAAAAAGATTAAAAAAAAAAAAAAAAACAAAGCTCCTCCATCTTCCA